GTTTTCTGTTTATTCAGCTGTGTGAAAACTATGTTCAATCTCAGCCAAATATTTAGAAGTGATCTAAGTCACTTATATATCATGTTCAGTTCAGTAGCCAATTTCTGGGATAGGTTGCAGACAAAAAGACTTTGGACAGAAAAGGCACAGTTTGGCATTCAACACTTTATTCACAAACTAAAACCAATCACTGTATCCACAGGTCAGTGGGTGACTGTACAGGTGTGTTAGATCAGTATTAACTGGCTGCACATGGCAGCTTTACATCATGCCTCACCACGAACCCTCCATTGGTTCATTCGTCCCCTGCATCCTCCAATCAAAGTGCTCTGCAGTTTGTCCTTCAGTGTGTGTGTGCGTGCGTGTGGATAAAGTGAAGGTGTGTATGTGCGCGTCCGTCCAGGCTCAGCTGGACCACATCGGTCCGGTTCTCGTGTGCGTCTTCAGAAGACACGCCTACACATTTACAAATACATTCAAACACAACCAGAAGGTTTTTCCTAGATATCTGTTAGACAGCAAATAGCACCGCAGAGCAAAATACACTTTGGGGTTAAAGAAAGAAAGAAAAAACGTCTACAGACAGCAGAGTGACAGCTGCATTCACACAGGAAGGAAGAAAATCACCTCCAGAACTCTTCATCATGGCAACTCTGATATGACATTAACGTGATGTAATGTGTGGATTTTTTTCTAAAAGCCCAGATTAGCCAATGAACAGTGGTCTCACTGTGGTGTTGTGATATCATGTTAGGTCACTGTGTGCTCTCCCTCTTGACCCTTGAGCTGTTCGGTACTCCATATACATTAAATCCAAACTTTTTAAAAAATGATATTACACAGACTGTTATAACGTATGACTGCTAACTTCAGGGAATAATAGCTCACGAATAATTTGGATCACCGAGTTCACCGACATCTGTTCTGCTAATTTCCAGCTCCACATTTTCAGCCCTGGACTCTCTGGAGGAGCTTTTCCTGAGTCCAAGTTCAAAATAATCCTTCTTTATGTCAAACAGGGCCGTGGTGCTCGGTTCACTGCCTGTTTTAGCTCCTACAATCCAGATTTCTGCTGTTTCTGCTGCAGGTGGGTGAGGCTGTGCCTGAGATGACAATATTAGGGATATTTCCTCTCTATGACATCACACAGACCCAAGCACTGAAAAATGGGCTGAAACTGACTGTTGAGAGTCTGAAGCCCAGCGCTCGCGGTGATTATTTGTACACACTGATCTTTGTGTTTTGAACTTTGGCCATGTTTAATATGAACATCCAATACTGGATAGCTGATATGTTACAGAAAATACTGAAACGCAGAACAGGTCCACTGCAGTAATAAAACGAACAGCTGAACAGCATTCTGGGAAATATAAGAAACACAAGCGGGACCAGATGCAGGTAAGAAAACTATCTGACAGAGCCAGAGTATCTGAGGGGACACCGACAGAAACCTGGGCTTAGCCTGAAATCACTTCCTGTCCAGCTGTACTGACGGTGATCTTCTCTCAACACTCAGCGTTAATATTCAGACGTGGAAACTCAAAAATACATGATTTCAATGTTTTGACTTCCTGTGTGAATCCAGTCGTGCTTTTCTACAGTTACAATTTACATTTTATATGTTCCGTTGTTGATCTAGATAAAAAAAAATGCTTTAAAACTCAGCTGAGCGGACGAAACAACTGAACCAAAAGGAAGGTGTGTAGGTCCAACGTGATTGGACGATGAAGCGTTAAAAAACCAAAACACCGAACCAGATCTCCGTGAACTCTCCTTTGTTTCCAGACCTGATGACGTCATCACCGTGCCCTCGCTTCATTCATTCGCTTGTTCTCTTTGACTCTGACATGTTCTTCTCTTCGGGGCTGCTGCATTGCATCATGGGAACTGTAGTCAGTCACCAGGTTAGTACAACTGTAGCTCTGTCATCAATAAAGCTGTCGGTCACTACGGTAACCGACACCCAAGTTAGCGAAGGGGAAAAAAGCAACATCACATTTGCATCAGCAGTGACGTCAGAGCGGTCGGCGTGAAAGTTTGTGGCGTCCGCTTCAGTCTCCGTTTAGTAACAACAGGAAAAGGGAGAGCAGGTCCTTTAAAGTCCTCAGAGATGGTTAGAAAGACTAAATATGGACATGGAGAACAAATGAGGCCACTGGGAGGTCACCTGAGGAGGAGGAGGAGGAGGAGGAGGAAGAGGTGGTTTCACTTCTATACTTCTGTAAAAATGGCGAGCCTCTTCACTGCGAGGTTCAACACGAATACATTTTCATCATGATCAGAATGTCAGAGATTAAAATACTTTCTTATACTAAATTATGACAAAAACGTTTCAATAGAAAAATAACTTCTCATTTTTATATTTGACATTTTTTCTTGCTATCATGAGATTCCGTTTTTACAAGGAATAATGTAAACATGAGACATATATGGCAGGTTTCTTACTGCAGTGACAAAGTGTCCATTTGTGTTGAAAATAGTTTGATGACCTACATTTATAAGATCGTTATTAGAAGATGGAATCAAAGGTTGGCCAACGACGACCAAGGTCACTACAGACTAAAATGTGTCTGCAACACAAGTTCTCTAACTCTAACAGGACTTTCTGAGAGATTTGTGCTAACCTTTCGTCTTCTTTATCAGCCTGTTAATTAGCTGTAATTAGCAGGCATGCATGTCTGAGTGATGCAGTTCATTGATGAAGGTTTCTGACCACCAAAACACTGAGGCTTTAAAACCATCTTTCACGTGTAGTTTAAAACAATGATAATAATAAAATAACTGTTTGAAGACTATTATTCCCAAACAGATGATTTAACAGCCCATGAAACCATGAAAAGCAACATCGTAAAAACCAATTCGTACTTGGATGTACTCTGTGTTTTCTCCTTACGATGAGATGATTTATTGTTTTAGAAGGAAGAAACTGATAAATACGTCAAAATAACATGAAAATGAAATGTTTTATTTTATAATTCTCTCTCACCCCAACTGGTGCAGCAGATGGCCCCGCCCCTCCCTGAGCCTGGTTCTGCCGGAGGTTTCTTCCTGTTAAAAGGGAGTTTTTCCTTCCCACTGTCACCAAAGTGCTCATAGGGGCTCATATGATTGTTGGGTTTGTCTCTGTATGTATTATTGTAGGTCTACCTTACAATATAAAGCGCCTTGAGGCGACTGTTGCTGTGATTTGGCGCTGTGTAAATAGAACTGAACTGAATTGAATAACACAAACCCAGCTGTCAGCATGTTAACAATGTTTCTTGTAAAACTTCACATAATCAGAGTGAAACTATGATTATATGTGTTACTATTGTTTTGAAATTTCAACAAGCTTTAAAATCATACTTTTACCTTTTGAATGTTTTATTTCATATCATGAAAACAGCCTAAAGTTCTTTTATACTGGTTTACACTTATTTATGGTTTCTTTTGTCATCATTACATTTCTTTCACTGAGTTTTGAAGATGAATCAAGTGATAACAATATTTTTCTAAGAATGTGAAAATATGTCAAAACTTCTACTACCTTTAAAAAGCTGATCAATAATGACGGACTCAGGATATTGTGTCACAACAAAGTTTCACTACTTTTTAATCTCATCAGACTTTATTCTCCTGTTATTGTGATATACCAATTTTCCCCCCTAAGGAAATGTGTCAGACAATAATGTAAATTTCAAAATACTTCACATTTCCAAGAGCTTTTAGTATTGATGTCATTGTTTCTTATAAAACTCAGATATGATAAAAATGTCAGAAACAATGTGTCTCATGTAAAAAGTTTTTTACTGCAGCTGGAACATTTTCCCCCAAAGCTTCAAAAATATGTTAAAATATTTGTTCTTGTTTTAAAGAGAT